GTTGTATCAAGACGTGAAAATCTGTGATTTGGCGTTGTAAACAAAGCGAGGACAATGTCTAAATTATTCATATATTGTAATTATTCAATTCTTTTTAATTATTTATTGTAGTGGTAGCCGTTGCCGTCCTAAATCGTAAGGTGTCTATTTAAAAATCGGGGAACCATCCCTCGAACCATGGAGCTGTTTATTGGTGCAAAATTTTCCGTAATGTCCGTAATGGCCCTGTCACACTATTGCGTATCGTACTAGCGTATGCCAGCGTATGGAAAATTTCAATCATACGCTGACATACGCCAGGGGTACGTTAGGCAACGGTGGCATACACATGTATATACGGCGAGGTAAGCATGGTTAAAAATGTTTCGAGTATGCGGACGTATGCATGCATGGTTTACGCTACTCATACGTTTCTCTCATACGCAATAGTGTGACAGGACCTTAACCGAGATCAGCATGCAATTGCAGTTCTTAAAGGGGCCCACAGTCATTTTTTAGTCGAAAAGCCACCTTAGGTATTGTTTACATTTTTTGTTATTGTCGTTACTTGACATGCCCACCACGGCATGCATGCGTCTTCCGGTGTGCGGAAGTACTCATACTCATGGATACTGCATGTAAGATACAGCCAAACGAACCTCCGTGGAGTCCCCTACTTAAGGTAGCTTTTCGACTAAAAAATGACTGTTGGGCCCCTTTAAAAAACATGAAAATATTGAACATGTATAAAATATTAGTTTAATTTTATAGAGGGAAAATAAATCTGCACTATGCCTATGATGAGAAAAAAGTGTTGCAAGGCATTCCTAATTGGCACACATATCCTTTCCCGCACTTTTCTTATACATTTTTGTTTATATATACAATATAGTATTTATAATGATACGCATAAACGTCAAATTTCAAGCATATATAATTGCTGACATATCTATCCAAAAAACAGCCATATTTGAAACATAGTAAACAGTTTTGTATGTTTTCAACGCGAAAAATTTAAGTAAATACATTTAAAAAATTTAAGTAAATACATTTGCCTCACCCCGGAGGGATCAAAGGCAAGGGAGCATACGCAATTTGCTAAATAAGGGCTGTTTATACGGATCCCGCTTAAACCACTTTGTCAGGACGAGATATAAGGCGCGATGGTTTTGTGAAAAACTTTATTTTCTAGAGATGGATTATAGTTAACTGTAATCGAAAGGTTGTTCAAAAAGCTATAAAAATCTTGAACTACATGATCTTCTCTACAACATTTGAGTTCGGTTATAGCCAGCATTTGAACTTTCGTTTAGCCTTGTGACTTATTTCAATACAACAAAATCATCCCAACTTCCATCATGTAAACAGCCCAGAGTATGCCCGTTCACAGGTTAGGTGCTGGGCATGACCTAACTTGCGAACTGGCAAATTCTGGGTATGAGATTGCTAATACGCCTGTTCAGGATGCAGGAAAAGACTGAAAAATGCAATTTGAATATCAAACACCTTGCACAAAGTCGAAGGTCAGCTAAATATTCTAATTCTACTTTCTTGGCATGGTTTTTTTTATGAATGCCTTGAATGCTTATAACTTCTTGCTTTTGTATGTATAATTATACTGTTAATGGTGAAGCTAGCCATTATTAAACTAAACTCTACGTGATTCATTCAAGGTGGCAACGATCATGTATGAGCGCCGCATTGAAAGAGCCACAACGAAAAGAGGATCCATTTGAACTCTAGCTAAATATATTTGTGTGTTTTGAGATATATTTGTGCGTTTGAAACATATTTGTGTGTTGCACTTGTGGGCCACCGTAGTTTTATACCATTTATGAACCTATACTTAATATATGGGAATGCTAATAAAAGATTAGTGCTATTGTATTAGGCAAATGGGAACCATACAATAAATGTTTTAGTTTTATTACATAATTTTGAAACCATTCTTGAGGCCACCTAATCGCTTTTAGATTAAGTTTTGATAAAATATACTCGTTATAAATACGTTAATTGATAGTTCTATTGAGCAAACCAAAAAGAACGAACACGGAAAATTTCTTACCCGAATTTAAAGCTGCGCGAATATGAACAAGGTGCGCGAAATTAAATCGCGCATGAATACGACGCGATTATTGTTTTAATGGTACCTTCAAGGCTACCCCTATTGCAGAACAACCGAACAATCTGCTGATGAGGAGGCAAAATTTATGTTGACATTTTTGTCAGCTTCAGATGACCATTCATTTGTAATGATTAAGATTGTAGAAAGAAATTCTGAGCAAGTGAATACATGAATGTAAGCCGGTATATTACATAATGCTAATCAATGGACATATCTCAGATACTAAATGTACAATAAAATAACATTTTGACTCCTTGTATAAATATACTGACGATCAGTGGGCTATTAGAACTGCAAATTCATAAAATCATATTGGTTTCAATATACCTCGATATCGAACACTAAACAGCAAATCTAAATAAATGCCTTCATGTACAGTATCACCAGAAAGAAATAAAGCTATCCGCCATGAATTATTCAAGATATTGTCGATCCTTTGCATCGTATTAAACTGTATTAAATCCTGAGAAGAATCATGCGAGCTGAATACAAAATAAAATCGAATCAAAATCGAATAAAAACAAAGAGCCGTCGAATGCTCGAGCTGACGACAATTTCCGAAAAATCTTGGCATCCGACGGACTGACATGGATTGAGTATGTTTCCCCAATATAACTCGGCCGGGGACTGGGTACGAAAAAGCAAGAACGACATGTAACGTCAAGAATAGGGAGCTGCCTCGCTACGCTCGGCAGCAACAACCAAAAATTGGGTTATTTCAACCAATTTGTTCTGACCAAAAAATATTGGTCAAAAGAAAATGCATCTGAGATTCTATGACAACCAATTCAAATGGGTTATTCTAACCAATCAGTTTTTAGTGCAGTGTATATATAATATCGGCAGGTAGCTGAGCGAGAATTAATATAATGTTAAAAACTATAACTTGATGGAGATTGATTTGTATTTGATTATATAAGTTGGATCAAGGTCAAGTACATCATGTGTACAAATTACCTTACCAATCATCTGTTCCCCAATGTTTTAATGGTCCTTCTAATAATGAAGGATTCAAGGACAAATCAAACTTCCCATTAATAAACTTTTTCCAAAACTGCTCATCTGAAAGAATAGTCTAGAATGGAGTACATATTCTATTAGTAATACATTCCTCAAAAAGTTAGGCTATAGAGCCTCGTCGGGCCTGAAAACAGTCAAAAGGCTCTAGGTATCTTTAGTACTAATCATCAAAGCGAGATTCTAAGGTTACATATATTACGTTACAGAAGGAAGTATTTTTTTCTAAAATGGCCATTGGGGGTCAACTGTCCCCAAACTTTTTCTGACTAATTAGTCAAAACTAAACTGTATCAACTGTATGTTTGTGGAAACATTAAAAGCTTAAAATCCTCGTATCTATAATTATAAGCAAATTAGCATCACATCATTAAAGGTTCGAGAAATGAATTCGCATGAGCAGAAAGAGATTAACTTGGCCACCTCCTAATTTCAAATATCTTGGCCACCTCCTAATTCCATTTATTGATGACAGCATGGAATTTTTTAAGTATGTATTTCATTATTATTGTTATATGATAGGTAAACTATATCGAGAGACCAAGACCAAATTACCAAATATGTGAATGACATCAGAATTGTATGGGTAACACTAATTAGACTGATACAGTTTTTTGACTGGTGGTGTTTTTACACTGGCATAGTATGGTGTTTTTACACTACACATAGCCATATACTTTGGTACATTGCACTGTTTCACAATTTACTGCCAAAGAACAATAGTAAACAGTCATTAACTATTTAAAAAGCGTGAATTATAACTGCTTTATCCTTAAATCGAAACACACACACATCAAATATGATAAATCGTCACTTATTCATAAAAAGTGTAAACTTATTGGAAATGATTCTTGTCAATTTTGTGTTTCTTACACGTGTTCAATTAAATGGCCATGCAAAGAAACGTCATGGCCAATATTCATATTCATTTATTTCTATTTTAGCGGTGGTGGTGGTGGGGGACATATCTGAATTTGCGCTGATATCATATAATATGTAATACTATTACATTCAGTAATATGTAATTGTGCATGTGTTGTTTTTAATTTGTTTGTAATATGTAAGTTTTGTTAATTTTACGCAATTCAGCCAATTCGGCTGCCATGTAAAATCTATTAAACTATCTATCTATCTATCTTTTATTCTATAATAACCAATATTCTATAATAACCACTGTGCCCTAATGCACCCCCACCTTACCACTTCACTCAGTGATGCTTTCCAGGGGAAATGCGGGGGACGGTGTTCCCCAGGCTGACAACACTAAAACATGGGGGATTGGTATTACCCCTGACAGGAGTCATCAACACCAGATAGGCGCATTAAGTAACCCTCTTATTTCTATTAACTGTGAGTGTTGCGACATAATGTGGTTGTCATGAAGTATTGGAATGATGTTCGCGGGCGCGATCTCGTTTCTTACGTTTTATATACGTTATTGTTTTGAAGAATATTTACACACTTGAATTGTTACAGAATATCGTGTATATCTATTTAATTTACTGCCGTTTTATTCACTGTTTATGTGGACGAAATACAGTTATCGTAAGTAAATATTTCTAACATTCATATTTAATTTAATAGCAAAGGATACATTGTTATTTAGATGATCGTTTGTATCGCATATTAAGTATATGTTCATTTTGTAGTTGAATCGTCGTCAAGGATTGAAATGTAAAGTACAATGGCATTTATATCATGGAAGTAAAGACGTATTCGAGACTGTGTTTAGTGTGTTTAATATATATATTGTGCAATTTCTGTTGTGATTACAACATTATTCAAGATAACTACTTCATATAAGCTCAGTGAAATGTCTAAAAGAGAGAGATCAGAAGGCCTTGGGCCTAGAGACGAGGATGTGTGCTTGTGTCTGCAGAGTCAGTTGACAGAGAATTAGTGGAAAAAATTGGAGCACTTAATTTGTCAAAAGCGGCATGTATAGAGGGCTTATCCTTATTGTATAAAGATGTTGAAGTGCTACTAGCTAATGATGCACCCAAAGAGGAGCTGAACTGTTATCTAGAGAAAATAAGTGTTTCATTTGGTTATTTTCAAACTGTTCACTTGGATTATTGCCAAGGTTTGGAATCTAAGCCAGAATTACTTACAGAGGCCCTATATTTGTACAACAAGCAGTTGCGAAAGAAACTTGATATAGTCAGCAAGCTACATAATACCATGAGAGGGGAAGCGGAAAGAGAAATGTTCGATGTAAGACCCGAGGACTCGGTGAGCAGAGCCGGATCACGGCGAAGTAGCAGGTCGTCTCTGGGCTCAGTACCAAGTTCCGCCTCGAGTTCCGAGATTAGAAGAATTAGAGCTAAGCAAGCAGTAGCTCGGTTAAAAATGAAACAGTTAAAGCAACGGCAAGAATTGCTCAAGCAAGAAGAAAAGATAAAAATGAATCGAGAAATGTTGGATATTCGGAATGAAATTGAACAAGCCGACTTAGAGGCCCAAATTATTGACAATGACGAGTGTGCAGATGCCTGCAATGTGCAACCACCAGCAGGTAAGCTTGATCCCAATCCCAAGGAATGTGTACAAAGGGACACCGAAGGACCCCTTTGTACAAGCATTGTCAGACCAACACAAAGCACCGAAAACAACATGATGGAAACTCACAGCAGTATCAACTTAGGTAGAACTGAAGAACAAATACCCCCCATTGGCCCATGTTATCACCTGACACTATCGTTAACAACGAGTCGAGCCCCAGGTTAAAGGTGAAAAACGACCACAATGATTTACAGCAGCTGGCTATGACGATCAGGCAAAGGTTTTGTTCTTCCGAAGCCGGATTTACTAAAGTTCGATGGGAATCCCTTGAATTATTGGGGATTCATTAGATCCTTTGAGAACACGGTAGAGCGTAACACCTTCAATGAAAACGAGAAGCTGATGTATCTACTCCAATACTGCACAGGAGAAGCAAATAAAGTTATTCGTAGTTGTGCTATGATGAATCCAGCTGAAGGTTATAAAGCTGTCCGCAAGCTGTTGAAAGAAAGATTTGGTCACCCCTATAAGATTGCCATGTCTTGTATTCGTAATGTAATAAATGGGGTTCAAATTAAAGCTTCAGATAGTGCCGGTCTACTAGCCTTTGCAGATCAGTTGATGGAGTGTGAAGCCACCTTGGACGCGATAGGTTATCTTGACGAAGTCAACAGCTCCGACAACCTAGGGCGAGTCGTTGAACGCTTGCCTTACCATTTAAAGGCAAAGTGGCTGGAAAGGGCACAAGACTTGTTGGAGGCGGGAAAAAGACCAAGGCTTAACCACATCTCAGAATTTGTCATGGCAAGAGCAAAGAGTGCGAATAACCCTATTTTCGCAGCAGTATCAACTTAGGTAGAACTGAAGAACAAATACCCCCCATTGGCCCCATGTTATCACCTGACACTATCGTTAACGAGTCGAGCCCCAGGTTAAAGGTGAAAAACGAAGGCATCTTATGAAAAACGAAGGCATCTTATGAAGAAAGGATGAAAATTGTGAGATCCTTAAGGCTCTGCGACAATTGCTTTGTAATTGGACACTTGGCAAAGGGATGTATGAAGCGAAGTGCATGCGAAGTCAGTGGGTGCAATCGACGCCATAAAACCATCCTGCACCCACCAAAGAAGGATCGAGATTTGGAAGCGAGTGACACTTCTCAAGGTGGTAATTCAGGGCAAAGGAATGGTAACTGTAGTTCAACGAACAAAGGCGGTAACGTCTGTCTACGGATCGTACCCATTAAAGTTAAGAATAAGATGGACGGGACAGTCATTGAGACTTACGC